TGGAAAATTGCCGCTTTGAGATCATTTGGGGCTGGAAATAAATCCACTCATAATGTTTCTGTGCTTTGTGCCAAGTCACCTCCTTTTTGCCCAGCTTAACAGATTTGTAACAAGAGCAGAGCAGGATGCTTTACCTTGGATGCCCTTTGAGGTACTCCCAGAGGTGTTTTCTAGCCCTGTCAGCTGCACGTCCAAGGTGCCACTTTATGAGGTGGCTGACACCATCAAAGTCCTTGAAAATTGGAGGAGAGAGGTGAGAATATCACAGGGTGCTCTTGTGGTAATATCAAAATACCTTGTCACAGATCCACCAACAAAATGCAAATTCTGCCAGACACAGAAATGTCTTGAGAGTGCCCCGGGCTGGAGCCAACTGGCTTGTGCCAATTGTGGGCAAACAGGAACCAGAAAGATTTCAGCAGAACTGTTAGATGGCACAGAATTAATTTCCTAATAATTTTTCCAAAAAGCTGATGGGTCTCGAGCAACAGGCTGGATGAAGTGAAGGAAGAGGGAAGGACTGAGTAACCTGGTATCAGGTTTGCTAGCTTTGGTGACAGGCAGCGTGCTGGAAATACAACCATATTTAATGGAAACACACAAAGGAAGATGTCTCCAGGAACTAGTACCTTCTGCCTTGCTTTATTAGGATTCAGTATGGCATTGTCTGTCTGCGCACAAAGTTGTATTTCTTCCTTCTTTGCCTTATCTTCTTGCACTATTTTACAAAGTAAAAGGAAATCCATAAAGTAATTTGGAAAAACACATCTTTCCCTTTTGAAAAAAAAATCAGCAGCTTAGAACTCTGTTTTCTTTTTAAGACTGGAAAGCATCACCGGTACTATAGCTTCCAGGCAACCACCTCTCTTTTGGTTTATAAATCAGTGATATCAACAGTTTTGGGGACCAAAGAAACTGAGGAGAGATCTTAGAAGATAAGATACCTTTTAATTCAAATGTCTTTTGAGGTTCTGGCAATGCTGAATCGAACATACTCTGCATTATACTTGCCTGCAGCAGCCCTGAAAAATCATGTTCCCTCTTGTGTGTTTAAAAAAATTGGCATTTGAGCTTTACATTTTACTTTAGAAAGACACTTATCCCAGTGTTTACCAACTTTATTTTTTCTTCTTCTT